TTTAGACTGACTTTCTGATCCCAAAGGACAAGTATTTGCATAAGATTTCTTAATTTCGAAACTTCAGGAATTCATAGTAATAATGTTAAAATTTTATATATGATTTTAGGAAATTATAATAAATTACCATGACTCAATAGTGGGTTAAAGTTTCAGAGACTTCTATCTTTAAAACAAGAGTAAAAGTTCTAGTAATTAGAATTTTCAAGAAATGATTTAATATAAATCCCCAAAACCTTTTGGACCCCATTTGTAATCCTTCTGGAAGAAATCCTGTTAAAATATACCTGAAAATGTTTCTTGCTTTGGATTAAAATGTCCATTAAACCCAATTACCTGCCTGTCCCTAAAATGTAATGTGTACTTGAACATGCCACTTCATTTTCTGGGTCATCGAGGAGGTGGGACCAGATGACTTTCCAAGTCTCCCACAAGGACCACTGTTTAACATACCCAGAAATTGTTATTGTTTGTTTGCTTGTTTGTTCTAATGACTTTATAATCTTAGAAAAGCTTCCCTATCTTTGTCCTAATTACCATTTTCTTATACCTAACATTTCAGTTTATAGGAGAATAAAGTGAGACTGTTCACACATGCAAGGCTATTTCTTTGATTTATTTTCTTTTCAATATTTGAGTAGTCTAGTGGGTTTTATCTGAGTCATCCGAGGGTCTTTATACATTATCACACAAGTAGATAAAATACAATACAAAAACTTAAATCGTCTGTTTATAATTAGTGAACAAATCATTTTTGCAATGCAGGTTTCATGAACTGATTCATTCATTTAGCACCATGTGAAGGACTGGATACAGAGAAAAAGCCAGAATAAACCCTGAACAAACTAATCCAGATTTGGAGAGACACATAAATAATTTGGATAGAGTGAGAGGCACAGCAGTTAAGAGTTCAGTCCCTGGAAGCTGATTACATAAGTCTGACTCCTCACTCTGCTACTTATTAGCTGTATGAAATCGGTTAAGTCACTCAGCTTTACGATCCCGCATTGTCTTCATCTGTGAAAAAACAATATTTATCTACCTCATAGGGTTGTTGTGAGGATTTAAAGAGTTCAGTCATCTCACACACTGGCAAAGTAATGCTCAAAATTCTCCGAGCTTGGCTTCAACAATACGTGAACCAGGAACTTCCAGATGTTCAAGCTGGATTTAGAAAAGGCCGAGGAACCAGAGATCAACTTGTCAACATCCACTGGATCATAGAAAAAGCAAGGGAATTCCAAAAAAATACCTACTTCTGCTTCATTGACTATGCTAAAGCCTTTGACTGTGTGGACCACAACAAACTGTAGAAAATTCTTCAAGATATGGGAATACCAGACCACCTTATCTGCCTCCTGAGAAATGTGTATGCAGGTCAAGAAGCAACAATTAGAACTGGACATAGAACAACAGACTGGTTCAAAATTGGGAAAGGAATACATCAAGGCTGTATATTGTCACCCTGTTTGTTTAACATATGTAGAGTACATCATGCAAAATGCTGGGCTGAATGAAGCACAAGCTGGAATCAAGATTGCTGGGAGAAGTATCAATAACCTCAGAAATGCAGATGACACCACACTTATGGTAGAAAGTGAAGAGGAACTAAAGAGCCTCTTGATGAAGGTGAAAGAGGAGAATGAAAAAGCTGGCTTAAAACTCAACAATCAAAAAACTAAGATCATGGCATCTGGCCCCATCACTTCATGGCAAATAGATGGGGAAACAGTGGAAACAGTGATAGACTTTCTTTTCTTTGGCTCCAGAATTACTGCAGATGGCGACTACAGCCATGAAATTAAAAGACCTTTGCTCTCTGGAAGAAAAGCTATGACCAATCTAGACAGCATATTAAAAAGCAGAGACAATACTTCGCTGACAAAGGTCCACAGAGTCAAACCTATGGATTTTCTAGTAGTCACGTGTGGATAACTCTCAGAGTTGGACCATAAGAAAGCTGAGCGAAGAAGAATTGATGCTTTTGAACTATGGTGTTGGAGAAGACTCTTGAGAGTCCCTTGGACGGCAAGGAGATCACACCAGTCAATCCTAAAGGAAATCAGTCCTGAATATTCATTGGAAGGACTGATGCTGAAGCTGAAGCTCCAATACTTTGGTCACCAGATGCAAAGAACTGACTCATTGGAAAAGACCCTGATGACAAAGACTGAAGGCAGGAGGAGAAGAGGATGCCAGAGGATGAGATGGTTGGATGGCATCACCAACTCTAAGGACACATGCTTGAGCAAGCTCTGGGAGTTGGTGATGGACAGGGAAGCCTGGAGCACTGTGGTTCATGGGGTTGCAAAGAGTCAGACTGAGCAACTAAACTGCACTGATATATAAAGCTTTAAAAGGGTGATTAGTGCATGGTTCTAATTAAGTGTTCACTATTACTATCATTGTTATTATCATTGTACTGAAACAGGTACGAATATAAAGTGAGAGAAATGGATGTAAAGTGAGTGCATTATATTAGATAATCTCTATTTGTAGATACTTAAAATTTATTATTTGTCCTCTAGCCTATACCTCCCAGTCCCCACTCATTTTACCCTACACTCTAATTCTGTCTTTGTTCATCTTCCCAAAGTGATCTCTCTCTTTTATAAGTGCCCTTTTCACATACTATTTGAATCATCAGATTCATATATTATATGCCTTCTTATTCTCTAAAGGTATGCATGGTAAAACTGAAGCCTTTATTATGTCACACATGACATGGCCACATATAATGCCATGTTTCCTATTTTCCCATTTTGCCCAACTCTTATGTGGATTACAGAGTGGTGCCACCATACCTGGCTAACTGCATGGAAGGTGCTCAGTAATTACAGGTTGATTAATTAAAGGTACTCAGTTTCAGAAATAGCTTTCACTGGCATAGACCAGAGGTTGGCAAACTTCTCCTGCAAAGGGCCAGACAGTTATTTTTCACTTTGTGGGCCATATGGTCTCTGCTGCAACTGTCAAAACTATCCCACTCTGCCACTGTGGTGCTACAGCAGCCGTAGACAACACATAATAAATGGGAGTGGCCATCTTTCAATGAGACTTCTTAAAATTGTTTACTTTGAAATACTCATTAATAAGAAGTGGAAAAACATATTCTGGGAGGTTTTGTACACTCTTCACTCAGTCTCTCAGTTGCTAGCACTCTAATACAGCATCACAACACCTTAGGTAGGGGTTAACATCTGTATCAGAATAAATGGTACTTCCACCTCCCCCACTCCTAACCTCTGATCTCACAGCAGTTAGGCAAGTCATGTTCAACAAGAGCGTGTTGATTTGAGCCAAGCTCATGATCTGTGTATCACACTCTTTGCTTTCCAGGTATCTTACACTTTTCACAGCTTAAACTAGAAAGTGGATAACTAGAATTCCCTTGCCCAAGAAGCAAAGCAATTTAACTTTGCCAATATGAACTAATGTTTCATAATTTTAATCTTTACATTTTCAATTAAGAGATGGATGCATCACATACATCCATACACAAAAAGAAAAAAAAAAGTCATTTCTTTACTGTGTACCTGGGAAATACAACTGTAACCTAGATTTGTACATTCAAACATATCGCAATTTAATTATTAGAGCTAACGCTACTAAGAACATGATGGAGAGTGGAAAAGTTATTTGCTTTAAATCATAGTGTTCCATATTTTTTCAAAGACTGACATGGCATTTGGCATGGCTTTGTTAATTATAAAGGTGGCTCACCAATCTCAGCTAAGCTGGCAGAGCCAAGAGGGTGATTAAGTTTTATAAAAAACAGGTATGGGGAGTTCTCTGGTGGTCCAGTGGTTAAGAATCTGCCTTCTAATGCAGGGGACGAAAGTTTGATCCCTGGTTGGGGAACTAAGATCCCACATGCCATGGGGAAAACCCATGCATTGCAACTAAGACCTAATGCAGCTAAATAAATAAATATTAAAAACTAGGTATGATGACTTCAGAGATTAATTTTTTGTCACATTACCCAGAAAAATGAGATATAATGAACTTTCTTTAAAAACAATGCAAGGCAAAAATTAACTGTTTTAGTATCTCAATTTAAAAAATGCTTTGCATTGTTCTGCTAATAAGATCCAGGGTTCTATCCTTATTAGCATCCTTTTAACAAAATAATATATGAATAAAGAACACTGAGAGTAAGATCCAAGGTTCCATACATGATTCATTTAACTGTAAAGACTACTTGGAGTGAAACTGACTACCTGAATAAATCTAGAACCCTCATCAAAAAACTAAACCTAAGATATTAAAACGTTGCTCCAACACTAAATAAGTTTCCTGCTTGTCATTTCCTAGCACCCTACTCTTGAAGTGAAAGTGGAAACCAATAAATAAAAGCAATTTTATGAACAAAGATAACTTCCCTTACTTAAAAGGCAGGCAAAAGAAAAAGGTCAAACCCACATTGGTATTTGAAATAGTTCTATATTTCTTATTCCTGGTAAATTTGTTTCAGAGGGACTAATAAGTTATCTTTTAATAGACATGAACTCAAATAAACAGAAGACAGACATGCAAGTTTGACAGTAAAATGTCTGCTAAATCCTTACATTCAGAGACCCATAAGTAATAATTTAATTTTTAATTAATAATTTCATTTTCATCTGGTGTGGAAGCATGCTTATTCCTGGAAAAAACAGTTGATCTTATTGACTGACATTTTGATATACTTTAAGGTTAATTAAGTAAGCAATGAGGCAAAGTAGTCAGTGTGCTGTAAGATGCATTTTTTCTGTAGGATTACATTTCAAAACAATTTTATACTCGAACCAACCAGTTAAGTCAACAAAGTGAGAGAAGTTGGTAGCTCCTGTATAAACCCTAACATCTTTTAGGAAGACTTAAAAATCAAATCATGACTGGATTGACTTTATAATTTATTATCTGTTAGGCTAAAGCTGTGGATTTAATTCAAGAATTGTACATTACGAAGTACATAAAGATGTTGCTTTTAAACGTTATTTTTGCATAAGTTTACTTACCGCCATATAAGCATTTGTTCCAACATACGTCTTGGCTATAGAATTCACCAGCTATGAGACAAAACAGTCTGTTAGAACAATATAAAGATAATGTGGAAATAAAATGGGCAATTATTCCTCATTTAACCTACAATCATCATTTCTATAAATCAACTAAAAATTATGTAAAAGGGAACAAATTTATCTACAAAGGCATTAAAAATGATTAAATCTCTTTTCTTTTGAATGTGATTTCCAATTTAAACAAGCACGGCTTTACAGTTTATAGCAGATAACCTTCAACAATTCACTTAAGCAGGATGCTTATCGCTTTAGTACCCCAAACCCGCCTGATATAAAAAGTCAATTTGAAGCAGAATTTGAACACTCATTTTTTAGTCAGATGGCTCCAGATGTGAATGAAGCCCCATGCCTTACCAGAATGAAGCGAACACTAAATACGCTGGAGGGATAACAGACTTTGACAACTCATAATACAACCATGACCTTCGCTTTGGTCTTCGTGTTTGGCTGGGAGTAAAGGTGGCTGCAATTCAAATCAACATCACAGCACGCTCATGGGTCACTATCACCAGGGTTCTCAGGGGAGGCCCAAAATGGAAATTAATTAAAATTTGTGCTGCACATTGTAATGGCCCTCCACCATTGTTGCTCCCAATATTAATTTTTATTGTGGGCCAGTTGGGCTCCCCAGGCACAGCTCCCACTCTGCCCTCCCTTTTGTCTGGCCAAAACGCTTTCATATCAAAGCTGCATATCAATGAAGTTTGCTATTCGTAAGTAGTAATTACAATATCAGCAGTTTTTACTGTCATTAAACAATGAACAATCATATTCTGATGAAGGCAACTCGCTCAGAGATTAAAAATGAATAACACAATCCCAGTCGACGAGAAGATGCAGAGTTCTGTTTGTCTGGCTGCTAGGTGATTTTTCAATCCAGAGAGAGAATGAAAATAGGAAGTAGATGTTACAGAGATGAGAACAGATCAGGAGGAAAAAGACCTACCTGAGTGCTAACTCCAAAATCACACAGCTTGACTTGTCCTCTCGTGTTTACTAGCATATTGGAGGGCTTCACATCTAAAAAGGGACCAGAAAAACCCATGAACCCATGTAACTAATTCCATATCTACTGAGCTTGTTCTAAAAAAAGCACACGCACACCAAACCATATTGCAGAAATGACATCATCTGTTCAACCTAGAATTCTAATCACAAATTTAATGCAAAGCATTTTATCTGGAGGCAAAATGTAAGGTCCTAACTCCCTCACTTCCAACCATTTTTGGTTTCTGTAGAAGCAAGAGTTTATTTATCTCATGTGAAAGTCAAATAAAATCTTTGCTTCCAACAACAGTAAACACACCTAACATCCTACTCCAGCTTTCAGGAAAAATAGATAAGAAAATGTAGCCTTCTTGCATAAAATTTGTACAAAAAGGCTTAGCTTTGCTCTTAATGTGAAACTGCTTCTCCCACCAAAAAAGTAAGGCCTAAGGGAAGCCAATAAAGAAAAAATCATTCAAAATGTTTGCTGGTAATAGATTTATCTGACTGAGACAATGAAAGCGTGTGTGAATGCAGTACTGCTTTTTCCGAGTTTTACATGCAAACCATACTTCAGATAATCCTCAGAAATTGACCTAAAAGATGTATGTATGTGTGTGCATGCCTGCACTTGTCAAGTCCTTTATTTATCCCTCTCATCCCTTATATCATTTTGACTGTTTTTAAAGTTAACAAAAGAACTGACATAGCTTTTGCCAAGGCAGTCTGCTAAATAGACACAAAGGGTTTCTGTGAAGCATCGTCAGTGACAACAATAAGCCTTTTCAGGAATTCAAGGAGCCAACAAAAACCATCCAAGCAGGATGATGCCACAGCACTTTTGTTGGTACAGGACAGCACCTGCTTCAGTATTTCATCTTCAGCAGCAAAAGTGGTTTGGAACAGACAGCTTGCTGTATTCAATAGAATATATGATCATAATTACTCCAAGGCTGAACAAAAGACTCAGAATTTCTATGTAACATCTAAAAAAACTGTGAGTTAATCTCACTCTGCCCCTCCAATCTGCAAAAGGGTACCCCCCCAAAAAACATCTTGCCAAGACTACGTACTTAACTCAAACCTCAGGTTCAAACTCAGTAACCAACGATTACTCAACTCTACCTCCCATGTGACAGGCATCTTCTCATTGGTGTTGCCTGACAGACACTAGAATATAAACTCCACGAAGGCAGGGACTTTGACTCTTTTACTGACTTCTAGATACCAGTTCCTGAAGAGGGCTAGTCATACAGGAAATGCTTAATAAATATTTGTTGAATAGATGAGAATAAATTAATGGAAACCATGAACACATAGCATTATTTTGTTAATGATTATGTTTCAGTGATCAGGGGTTAGCTGTAGACTATGCCTCTGTAGCATGCCCTTTCAGATAACACACACTATATACTTCTTGTAGGGGGCTTTCTCTCTGAAAACAGGTCAGTATGCCTAGGCATGTGTAAGCTTTTTTAACCAACTTGCCTCTCTGCTTCTAGTTTTCCCCAATTTCAACATAAATCTTATACCATTAAATACACTTTCACTGTATAACTTCTCTCCTAAGGAGGAAGTAAAATATTCCCTGACCTCCCCCACCAACCCCAACGTGAATTCCCTAAGAGGGTTGTGCTTTCAAATGTGCCTCAGTTCAGTTCAGTTCAGTCGCTCAGTCATATCCAACTCTTTGTGACCCCATGGACCACAGCACGCCAGGCCTCCCTGTCCATCACCAACTGCTGGAGTCTACCCAAACCCATGTCCACTAAGTGAGTGATGCCATCCAATCATCTCATCCTCTGTCGTCCCCTTCTCCTCCTGCCCTCCATCTTTCCCAGCATCAGGGTCTTTTCAAATGAGTCAGCTCTTCGCATCATGTGGCCAAATTACTGCAGTTTCAGCTTAAACATCAGTCCTAGAGGACTGATCTCCTTTAGGATGGACTGGGTGGATCTCCTTGCAGTCCCAGGGACTCTCAAGAGTCTGCTCCAACACCACAGTTCAAAAGCATCAATTCTTCAGCACTCAGCTTTCTTCACAGTCCAACTCTCACATCCATACATGACCACTGGAAAAACCATAGCCTTGACTAGATGGACCTTTGTTGACAGAATAATGTCTCTGCTTTTTAATATGCTGTCTAGGTGGGTCATAACTTTCCTTCCAAGGAGTAAGCATCTTTTAATTTCATGGCTGCAGTCACTATCTGCAGTGATTCTGGAGCCCAAAAAATAATCTGCCACTGTTTCTGCTGTTTCTCCATCTATTTGCCATGAAGTGATGGGACCAGATGCCACGATCTTTGTTTTCTGAATGTTGGTTGATCTTTAAGCCAACTTTTTCACTCTCCTCTTTCACTTTCATCAAGTGGCTCTTTAGTCCTTCTTCACTTTCTGCCATAAGGGTGGTGTCGTCTGCACATCTGAGGTTATTGATACTTCTCCCGGCAATCTTGATTCCAGCTTGTGCTTCTTCCAGCCCAGCGTTTCTCATAATGTACTTTGCATATAAGTAGTCATGTACGTGCAGCCTCAGTAGTCTGCACAAAAAATACACATCATAGACAGCCACACTAGACATTCAATAAACATTTGCTGAACTGGAAGAAATGTTAGGCTCTACAAAGCCTGGTCTTATTTTCCAAACTTAATTCTCACTACATGCCCTCAACTTTAAATATTTTTCTTTTGGACAATCTGCTCTTTTATATACTGATACCCTTAAACTGGCTTCTCTGGTAGCTCAGTTGGTAAAGAATTTGCCTGCAATGCAGGAGACCCTGGTTCCTTTCCTGGGTCGGGAAGATCCCCTGGAGATGGGATAGGTTACCCATTTCAGTATTCTTTGGCTTCCTTGGTGGCTCAGATGGTAAAGAATCTGCCTGCAATGCAGGAGACCTGGGTTCGATCCTTGGGTTGGGAAGATCCCTTGGACGAGGGCACAGCAACCCACTCCAGTATTCTTGACCAGAGAATCCCATGGACAGAAGAACCTGGCAGGCTGCAGTCCACGGGGCTGCAGTCAGACATGACTGAGCAACTACGCACGACACAGCACCCTTAAACCACTCTTAAGCCACACATCTGATGGAGACAGTTACTGAACAAATATTCTGAGCTCCTGGAAGAAAGGGCTGCCTGGAAATCACAAGGTATGGTAAGATGAACAAATCTTTAGCTTTAATCAGATACACATTTGACTTAAGTGGACCAACAGAGAGAAAAGAATAAAACAGCCAAAATTTCTAGATTATGTTCTGAAAAGCAAGGCGTAAATAAGAACTGGACGGCATTTTCAGCTCTCCAATATCTTTTTTTAACTTACATATATGCCTACTGCCTGATTTTGCACATTTATTTTTCAGTTCAGTTTTCAGAAATAGTTTGTGTATGAAAGCAGTAGGCATACAGCCATCCTCTAAACAACTTCTGTATTCCAACTAGACTGGTCTAGCCATTGTCTCAAAAGAAACAAATCTCTAAAACACCACTACCATGCCATCATTCATGCCGTGTCCCAGGCCTCAACCTTCCTGGGTTTAGAAATCCTTATTTGATATTTTTTGACAGAATCCTGTCCATCCTTCAACTCAGGTATCCCATCTCCCTGTTAATTAATCTACTTGGACACCAAAATCACTGCTTCCTTTGAACTGCTAAGGCATTTATTGTCTGTACCATTTAGAACTGAGCATGTGACACCTTTTTTTTTTTTAAAAACAAGTAATTACTTACCATATTTACTGTTAAAGTTATCATCAAGTAACAAGTTCACAGGGGAGGAATGCCTTTACACATTTTCATATTTACCCTGTGTGAGGATACAGGATATATCCAAGATGTATAACACTTTGCTCACTGGTTGATGGCCTCCTAAACAATACACTAAATTTGCTAGTATGAGTGTTCCCCTCCCCAGCAACATTGGACCATAACAGATCCCTTTAAACAAAATCAATGGATTCAGGTGAGGAGACAGAAGCCTGACTCAATGGAGACATAAGACTTGGATTTTAGTCTCCTGGGCCCCGTCAAATGTAACTTTGGACTAGGCATGTGATGTTTTAGTTTTCACCTCTGTAGGGAGATAATAAAAGTTACTGTTAAAAAACTGTGGGGATTAGATGAAATAATGAATGTAAAATAGCTTTTAAACTGTCAAACACTCTATAAAGTATTATTATTATCTACTGGCAATCAACCAAGTCATAAAAAGTGTTATATTTCTTTATGTTCAGGAATAATTTCTGCTGCTACTGCAGTAAATTCAAGCTGTATTTAGGTAAAATACTAGCTGAAAGAAAGCAATTCCAAAGTCCAGCAAGTAGACTGATAAAACCTGTCCAATGTTTATGAAGAGGCATATCTGCCAGACTATATGCACTCACTCCCCAATAAGGCCAATGCACTGGTCTCCTTACTTTCACACCTGCTCTACAGCCTGTCATGAACAGCGCTGCTAAAGTGACTTTTTGAAACCTACATCAGGGACTTCCCTGGTGGTCCAGTGGTTAAGAGGCTGTGCTTCCATTGCAGGGGGTGCAGGTTCAATCCCTGGTCGGGGAGCTAAGATCCTGCATGCCCCATGGCATGGCCGAAATACAGAAAAAATTTTAAAAAAACCTGAAACCTAAATAAGACCATTCAGTCAGTCAGTCAGTCAGTTCAGTCGCTCAGTCGTGTCCGATTCTTTGCGATCCCATGAATTGCAGCACGCCAGGCCTCCCTGTCCATCACCAACTCCCGGAGTTGACTCAAACTCATGCCCATCGAGTCGGTGATGCCATCCAGCCATCTCATCCTCTGTTGTCCCCTCCTCCTCCTGCCCCCAATCTGTCCCAGCATCAGGGTCTTTTCCAATAAGTCAACTCTTCGCATGAGGTGGCCGAAGTACTGGAGTTTCAGCTTCAGCATCAGTCCTTCCAATGAACACCCAGGACTGATCTCCTTTAGGATGGACTGGTTGGATCTCCTTGCAGTCCAAGGGACTCTCAAGAGTCTTCTCCAACACCACAGTTCAAAAGCATCAAT